CTTGATGTGCTGCTCCTGCAATCTGCGCTCCTCCAGCCTCACTCTGAGATCAGCGACATGCGCTTCCAGCTCCACGTTCCTCTGCACCAGGGCCGCTATGTTCCGCACCTCCTCTTCCTCAGCGCCTCCGCCTGCAGCTCCTTTTTTCTGGTGACTCATGCTGCTCTTCACTGCTACATGCGAGCAACCTCAAAGACTCCCAGATTGCTGTCAGATGCTGTGTGGTGGTTGCTCGTGAGTAACCAGGCAGGACTCCGACCTGTCTTTTACAGGTTTTATTGTGCCAACTATTTACAGTGCAGATACACAAGGTTCATGTCCGTCTTAGTCACTTGCAGAATCTGGGAGTGGCCCCTTCCGGCTTCTCCCCCAACGTAAGAACTTAAGACGCCCCAAATCTCCGCCTCCCCTCCTTGCATTTCACCCCTCTGTGCAAGTTGGGCGACGGAAGTGGCGTGTGCACCTCCGCTTGGGCTCTCAGCAGCATCTTCGAGCCCTCTCCTCGCTTGGCTGGCCCCTTCCCTCTCTTCTCCACTGGAGGTGTGGCTTTCCCTACCGCTGGACGAGGAACTGCTCCTTAGAAGTTTCTGCGGCTCTCTGTATCCCAACGGCATCCCTGCCTCCCTCCCCTGTTCTGATGGCAGTCCCCTGACAATAATAATAATACCTTTATTGTCATTGCACATCCTGTGTACAATGAAATTAAACGAGCCTCCCTCCACCCCCCCACTCAGTCTCTTATCGAACAACGCACCACCTCGCAAGTCAATTTCGCAATGTTATTTTCTGTTCAACAGCCTAACAGCCCACAGATAGAAGCTATTTTTTAGCCTGTTGGTACGGCTGATTATGCTTCTTATCTCCTGCCCGAGGGTAGAAGATTAAAGAGGTGCTGGCCAGGGTGTGAGTCATCCCTGAGAATCTTTCGCACTATTCTAAGGCAACGATCCCTTGAAATGTCATCTAGCGGACTCAAGGGACAGCCCATGGTATCATGTACTGTATTCACCACCCTCCATAGAGACTTTCTGTCCGTGGCTGTCAGGCAGCATACCACACTGTGATACAATATGAAAGGACACTTTCTATTGTGGACCGGTAGAAGGAGTTCATCAGTTGTTGTTTAACATTATTCTTTTGTAAAACCCTGAGGAAATGGAGTCTCTGTTGGGCCTTTCTGACCACCTGAATTATGTTGATTTTCCAAGTGAGGTCCTCACCAAAGTAAACTCCCAGGAATTTAAAGGACGACACTCTCTCCACACAGCCTCCCCCCCCCCCCCGATATACAATGGGGCAGGTTCCCCTCTCTTCCTCCAGAAGTCCAACACCATCTCCTTTGTCTTACTACTATTTAGGTGCAAGTTATTCTCTGAGCACCAAGTAAATACTTTTTGAACCTCCCCCGTACACTGTTTCATCTCCGCCTACAATTAGGCCCATTATAGTAGTATCATCTGCAAACTTAATAATTACTGTGGATGGATCAGATGATATGCAGTCATATGTGTACAATGAGTACAGGTAGGGACTTAGCACACATCCCTGTGGGGTGCCAGTGCTAAGCTTCAGGGGGGTAGCTGTAACAGTCCCAATCCTCACTATTTGTGTCCAATCCCTCAAAAAGTCTTTAATCCAGTCACAGATGGTAGAAGAAAGGTCCAGATCCGTCAGCTTCTTAATAAGAATATCTGGGAGGATGGTATTAAAAGCTGAGCTATAATTTATTATTTATACCCAGCCAGTCTGGGCTGCTTCCAGCAAAATTAAAATACAGTAAGGAGGAGCTCTTTCAATCTATTTTTCCCATGGCTTTGGAAGCTCACCTGATGGCCTCCTTGTAGTGCATAAGAGCCTCCTGGAGCTTTCCTTGCTGTTGCAAAACGCTGGCTAAATTCGAATGCGCAGCCGCAAACTCTGGGAAGACCTGCAGGGAAGAAGATCACTCTTAGTTCCCCCGAGAAGGCTGTACAGTGGACACTCGGGTTGGGAACGTGATCCGTGTGGGATGCACGTTCGCAACCCGCAGCGGTGCGTCTGCACATGTGCAGGTTGCGATTTGACGCATCTGCGCATGCGCAATGCACGATTTAGAGCTTCTGAGCATGCATGACTGCCGAAACCCGGAAGTAACCCGTTCCGGTACTTCCGGGTTTCGGCAGTCCGCAACCCGAAAAAATGCAACCTGAAGCATCTGTAACCCAAGGTATGACTGTATTCTAAAGAGACGGCGGCCGCTCTTTGAGGCTCAAAGGTTACGGGTGCGAAATAAATCCACCTTTCAAATGACTTGTAAAAATTATTAATAATAATAATTAGTGACCTATGGACTGCCTTTTTAGCATGCAGAGGAAATACTGTTCGCAGATCAGACTGTCAAATGATCAATGCCTTATTTTAAAAAAACCCACTTTTAGGCTGAAACGTGGCGGGGGCTGGCCACGAAACAAATTCTCATTTGGAATGACTTGTAGTAGTAGTAATAATAATAATAATAATAATAATAATAATAGGCCTATGGACTGCCCTTTTAGCATGCATAGGAAATCAGACTATCAAATGATCAATGCCGTATTTTAAAAAGGCCCTCTTTTAGGCCCAAAGGTTGCAGAGGCCGAGCGTGAAATTAATCACCATTTGGAATTAACTTGTAAAAATTATTATTATTATTATTATTATTATTATTATATAATAAACAATAATAATAATTAGGGACCTAATGGACTGCCTTTTTAGCATGCATAGGAAATACCGTTAGGAGATCAAACTGTCAAATGATCAATGCCGTATTTTAAAGAGCCCCTCTTTTATGCTCAAAAATGTCGGGGGCCGGCCGCAAAACAAATCGCCATTTGGAATAACTTGTAAAAATTAACAATAATAATAATAACAATAATAATTAGGGGCCTATGGACTGCCTTTTTAGCATGCACAGGAAATACTGTTAGAAAATAAGACTATCAGATGATCAAGCTCAGCTGACAAGGAGTGGCAAGTGTCCAGCTTTTATTTCAATTTCATCGCCTTGCTTTGTTTTTCTGATGAAAAAGCAGATTTTCGATCATTCTAGGAGGCCCATGACTATAAAAACAGGCACAGACCCTTTTCTTTCCCAAAGTGACTTATCGGGCCAAATGAACACCATACTTTGTTGAACCTTAAAATGCTATTTCACTTTCAGTTCGTCACCATTATTTCCGTTACTGATCACAAAAAATCTGATTGGCAATTTGAAAAAAGCCCCAAACCAGGCATCCAGGGTATGCATGCCTAACCCTTGTGTGTCAATTATAATAATTAGTATTGATGTAATTCTCCACGCAGGTACCTCAAGAGCTTTCCGGTAGAGGCGGACAGCCTCCTCGATATTCCCTTGCTCTCGCTTGATGTTGGCCAGGTTATTAAGAGAATCCGCGTGAGTTGGGCATAGACGGAGAGCCGTGTTGTAGCATTCCTCGGCTTCGGCAACCTTTAAAACGTAAAACAGAGTATGTACGCGAATTGTTTGCAGGCCGTGTTGTAGCATTCCTCGACCTCAGCAACCTTGAAACATAAAACTGAGTTTTTACACAAATATTAGGACGTGGTTCACAGGCGCCCAAAAGGCTGCGCTGCGATGACCCCGATTCATGTGCCAGCCTCTACGGCTGGATTTATGTTTCAGGCAGCAGTGGCGAACCTATGGCTCAGCTGGGAAGCACGAAGCCTCCGAGAGATCCCCAGCCGGCTCCCGCTTGCTCGCAAGTAGGAACGGGATCGCAAGTAGGAACGGGCAGCTGGGGAATGCGTGAAGGAATCGTTCTTTGCGTCAGCCATCGGCCACAGCAATAAAACAACAATATGATATACCAGGCACGTCCAAAGTCAGTTTCGGGGGCCTAATTAAAAAAAAAAAAAATCAACAAATCCTAAAAAAAAAAAAAGCAGCTCAACAACTGTCCAGGTTGTCCTCACGCATGTTCACTTCATCAAATCTGACCCTCTTTGGAAAAAGTTTGGGCACCCCTGCGATATACAAAGAATAGAGATAAAAAGTCCATGGTGTAAAATACATTTTGGGGTTTTGAATCAAAAGTCAAATAGTGGATCTTATTCTGATTGCCCCGGCTTAAAACCTTGCCACCTCTGCTGTCACCTGCTCCTCTTGATCTGCCAATCTGGCAGCCGTTGGGTGACCTGGAATGGACAAAAAAAGAGGGGTGATAATCTAATTCCTTTTTATAAAAGGCATGCACCGCCAATTCGGTCTGGCTGCGTCCGCAGGGATCGGAGCATTTTTCGGGTGGAATCTGTTGGCATCGTCCTTTGAGTCCAGCCCAGGGCGATACATTCAATCTTGCAAGAGTGAAAGTGCGTCTGTATTTTGGGATTGCTAGATTACGCCGATAGGGTGCCAGAGTCTCGAAATGGGAAGGGGAAACAGAGTCATACTGCAGGCAAAATTTCCTGATTGTGGCCAAGTTGTTCCGACGCTCGATACCATTGAGGCGCCGGCAAATTAGACCATTTGCTTTACTGACACCCAAAGTGAGTAGCTGTGGTGGTGATAAACCACCAGAGGGAAGTTTTCAATAGACGATTTGAGTCCAGGCGCTCTTGGGACAATCCTCCAGCTGTTCTGGGAATACAATGCCCACCATCCCTAGCTCACAGGACCAGTGGTCAGGGATGATGGGCGCTGTAGTCCCCCAACAGCTGGAGGGCCAAGTTTGCCTATGCCTGCACAAGAGTCTGTTTAGCCAAGGAGATGCAATTGGTGTCTATTGTGCCGGCCAAATGTGGGTGCCTTAGGAGGAGGTGTCACAAAAATGGGGGAATGTAAACCCGAGGGCTTGAGTGACAAAAGGGGATTTCTTTTGTAAAGAGCGCTGCTTGTATGTCTCAGGTGCGAATTGCCACGACTGCTTTTCCTCCGTTGCTTCTTGGGGTGCCTGGTCCACTGTTAGAGGGGGTTCTGTAAGCAGCCTCAGCTGTTCTGTCATTCCACCACCTGGCCCTCCAGCTGTTTGGGGACTACAACTCCCACCATCCCCAGCTCACGGGACCAGTGGTCAGGGATGGTGGGCCTTGTAGTCCCCAAACAGCTGGAGGGACAAGTTGGGCCATGCCTGGTTTAGGCAGAGCCTAAAGCAGATTGTCAGGGAACTGACATCGGAGCTAGAGGCGGAGGGAAGGCTCTCAAATGATGCTGGAGAAGGGCCCAGCAGGGAGAGAGGCAGCTCTGCAGATGGGGAAGCAAATCAGCGCAACACCAGGGATAAAGGGGGGCAGATGGGGGAATCGGCGAGAGGGCTCCAGGACTCTTCACCGGACACCAGCGGGGAGAGCACTGGTCCTCCGCTACCCACGCCCTCCCTGCGCAGAGAAAGTAGGAGGAGACTGGGTGTCAAACAACTTTTATGTTGGAAAAGATTTAAGAAACGCCCACTGACGGATCCTGCTAGCGACTGAGGCAGCCACGAAGTGAAGGGCTGCCCAGACTGAAAGGTTTAACAAGGCAACAAAACCAGGAGAGGCGGCAACTTACGCACGAGCAACCCATACTCAATACAGCAATCCGTCAGTCCCTGACGTCGCTCGTGCACAGCGACAGGCAGGCAGCATCATGAGCAAAACCGGAGAAGCTGGCGCCACGGAGCGAGCAGCTGGAGTGCAAAATCTGGTGGAGAGGAACCGAGATTTGGAACAGCATGTGGCTCTTCTGACGGCGCGGCTGGACGAAAGGCGGTTTCAGGATGCTCAGGTCAGACCCACCCCCGTAGCAAGGAAGGTACCGGGACTGGTACACAAGTTTGGAGGGAAACCCCAGGACTACAGTGCGTTCCGAACAGAAATAGAGTACGCGTTGGAACTGCAACAGAATGATTTTGCAGACGATGGGAAGAGGGTTGCCTATATTGTCGGACATCTGCAGGATGGGGCCAGAGAATGGATCAGGCCCCTAATGGCAACGCAGAATGCCGCCTTGAAAGACCTGAGGAAATTCTTCCAGGCGATGGATGTGATGTATTCCAGTGATGTACAGCAGTGTGACTCGGCGGGAACTGATGGGCTGCAAACAGGGGAACCAGTCAGTTAGAGACTACTGGTCACGCTTTGCCATGTTAGTCCACCGGCTCGGGTGGGATTTGGACTCTGAACCCATTCAAATGCTGTTCGAGGAGGGGTTGTCCCCAACGGTGAAGGACGAGCTTTCCCGCGCACCCCGCCCGCAGTCGATGGATCAGCTGACCAAGGCTGTGCTTGCGATTGGTGTAAGGCAGGAAGCGCGGGCCCAGGAGAAGCGCAAAGAGAGAGCGCAACGTTACCATGACTACCGCATTCCTGAAATACCAAAGCAGCCTTCCCCACCGGCGGAGCCAATGGAAATAGATGGGGCGCGCGCGGGGGAGATTTCAAACTCCAGTGAAGGTCGCAAGAGGGAGGGAAAGGATGGGAAAACCACCAAGAAGTGTTTTCTCTGCCAGCGGCCAGGACATTTGCCAGGGTCTGCCCGCAAAGAAAGGCCTGGCAAGGGATGGTGGGAGCTGCAGGGGGTGAGGAGGAGATGGTCAAGGAGCAGGGAAACGCCAACGCTTGGCTGCCACTCAGCGGGCACAGTAGCCAGGCCAGCAACCAATAGAAGTGCCCCGACCAGACCCCCCCAGGGCGGCTATAGCCATAGAAGTGGTGCTAGAACTCCCAAACGGGCACCTAGTCAAGGTGAAAGGGCTGTTGGATTCAGGCAGTTCCTGCAATTTCTTCAGCAAGGACTTTGCACTAGAGCACCAGCTCCACCTGCTGCCCCTAGATTTCCCCTTGCAAGTAACCACCATTGATGGCAGGGAGCTTCTGGGAGGGAAGTGATGCACCAGACCCCACCAATGAGAATGAGGGTGTCCAGGCACACGGAGACCATCGCCTTTCACGTAGCCTCACTGGCAGGGGCCCCAATAATATTAGGGATGAGCTGGCTAGCACAACATGATCCAGTGGTGGCATGGCATCAGAGAACAGTCACCTTTGGGTCCGCTTACTGCTTGGAACACTGTCTAGGGGGGAAACCCCAAGAATGACCGTGGCCAGGGTGGCTGGGATAGCTGTGGAGCCGAAAGGGGAGGTGCCACCACAATATGCTGACCTGCAGGAGGTCTTCAGCGAGAAGGAGGTAGATAGACTACTCCCCCATAGGCCCTTTGACTGCCAAATCAACTTGCTCCCTGGGGCGCAGCTACCGGTGGGTAAACTGTATGCCATGTCGGACAGGGAGATGAAGGAGTTGCGGGAGATTATTGACAAGAACCTGAAGAGGGGGTTCATAAGGGAATCAAAGGCAGTGGGGGGCAGTCCGGTGTTCTTCGTGGACAAAAAAGGGACTAACCAGCCCAGATTGGTCGTAGATTTTAGGGCGTTAAATTTGGTATCAGAACCCGTGACCTTCCCAATGCCCAGGATTGACAACATTTTAACACGGGTGAGGCAGGGAAAGATTTTTACCAAGCTGGACCTCAGGGGAGCCTATAATTTGATCAGGATGAGGGAGGGGGACGAATGGAAGACCACAATGTTCACCCCCCTGGGGGCCTTTGAGTACTTAGTTATGCCATTTGGATTACAGTCAGGCTCCGCCTGTTTTCAAGCTTTCATGCACCACGTGTTGGGGTCCCTGCTGTACAAGAACTGCGTAGCCTTCTTGGACGACATCCTAATCTATTCAGACAATGAGAAGCAACATGTCAGAGACGTCAGGGAAGTGCTAAAGAGACTGCAGAAGCACCAGTTGTGGGTCAAGCTGGAAAAATGTCAGTTTCACGCCAGAGAAGTCGAGTTTCTGGGGTACAAGTTGTCAGACAAAGGCTTAGCGATGGACCCAAGCAAGGTGCAGGCAGTGCTGGAGTGGAAGGCTCCCAAAACCCGGAAGGACGTGCAGAGGTTCCTAGGGTTCAGCAACTTCTACAGGAAGTTCATCAAGAACTTCGCCCACTTGACAGCACCCATCACAGATTGTCTCAGTAGCAAAAGGAAGTTCGCCTGGACAAAGGAGGCCCAACAATCCTTTGAAAAACTGAAGAAGGCGTCCGCATCAGAAGAGCAGCTCCTGCACGTGGATCTGGAGAAACCCATGAGGCTAGAGACCGACGCGTCCGACAGAGCCATTGGGGCGGTTCTTTTGCAGCCAGGGAGGAGCAAGCAGGAATGGAGACCGTGTGCCTTTTTCTCGAGAAAGCTGAACAAGTCGGAGCAAAACTATACTGTGTATGACCGCGAACTGCTTGCAATCTATGCGGCGTTTCACCGATGGCGACATCTACTAATAGGGGCGCAGCACAAGATCCAGGTGTGTACAGATCACAATAACTTGGAATACTGGAGGACCGCACGAGTGCTCAACCAGAGACAGATTCGATGGGCACAGGAGTTCTCCAAGTTTTCCTTCGAAATCCGATACGTGCCAGGAGAGGAAAACGTGAGAGCAGATGCTCTCTCCAGGAAACCGGAGTACCTGGAAGGAGAGGGGCCACCGGAGATACGACACGTGATCCCCGAGGACCGATGGGTGTGTGGGGGAACCTTGGTGGGGCAACGAGAACTGGCTGGACTTACTAGAAACGACGTGTTCGCACAAACTAAAATCCGGGAACTCCGAGACGGAAGAGAAACCCAAGGAGGGTTTGAGGAGAAGGAAGGGGTGCTGTACTATAAGGGGCTGCTGTATATACTGGGGGAGACCCAACGGGGAAGGTACACAAACAACTCCACGACAACCCCACAGCTGGGCACTTTGGACAGCACAAAACCATGATGCTCGTCACCAGGCAGTTCTGGTGGCCCAGGGTGAGGGAGGATGTACGGGAATATGTACGGGATTGCGACCGCTGCCAAAGGGCAAAGGGAGAGCGGGCTGCCCCCGCAGGATTACTGGAACCCTTACCCACGCCGGGAAACCTTGGGAGGTGGTGTCCATTGATTTTATGACCGATTTGCCCAAGTCCCGGGGGAAGACAGCGGTCATGGTAGTGGTCGATCTACTAACAAAAATGTGCCATTTTATAGCTTGCTCACATGCGGTCACGGCAGAGGAAACAGCCAGGTTGTTTGTAGATCACATCTTCAGGTTGCATGGGGCTCCTTCAAGGGTCATCTCCGACCGCGGGAAACAATTTACTTCCTGGTTCTGGAGGAAGCTCATGAGCTTGCTGCAGGTCGAAGTGGGCTTCTCAACGGCGAGACACCCGGAAACCAACGGGCAAGCAGAAAGAGCGAACAGTATTCTCCAGCAATACCTACACTGCTACGTCAGCGAGAGGCAGAACGATTGGGTAGAGAAACTAGCGCTGGCTGAATTTGCGTACAATAACGCTGAACATGTGTCAACGGGAATGAGCCCGTTCATGGCCAATTATGGGTGTCACCCCAGGGCCTTCCCGGGGAGTGGGGAGGAAGGTTGGAGCGTACCGGTGGCAGAGCAGTTTGTGGAAGAAATTGAAGCCCTGCACCAGCAACTTAAGATGAACTTGGAGCGGGCCAAGGAAATTTACAAGAGGCAGGCAGACAAGCGCCGTAGGGAAGGGGAGACCATACGGGTGGGAGATCGGGTGTGGTTGTCAACCCAAGGGTTACCTTTTAAGGGGGGGTGCAAGAAGTTGAAGCGCAGGCGGCTGGGACCGTTTGAGGTAACACAGCAGGTGAACCCCGTGGCATTCAAGCTCAAATTGCCAGACAGCATGAAGATACACCCGGTGTTCCATAGGTCCCTACTCTCACCGTACAGGGAAGGACGGGGATTCCCGGGGCGAGAGGGAGAAGTCACCACACACCCACAGGTGGAAGAGAGGGAGCACCACAACTTGGCCACGGAAATACTTGATTCAAGGTGGCGAGGGCGCCAGGTGGAATACTTGGTGGCTTGGGAGGGAGAACCCGGGTCGGAAAACACGTGGGTTCCCACGGAGGCAATCACTGACGGGTATCTGGTGGAGGAATTCCACCGCCTGTTCCCGGACAAACCCAAACCACTAGCGAGATTCTGGGAGGAGCAATTTGGAACCACAGACAATGAAGAGGATTTTGTGGGTTTTTCGGCCTCCGAAGAGGAGGGAGGAGAGG